AAAATCATATGAAATTTTCATTATGTTCCATTCCATGCCTCACAAACATGTTTCTGGAATGGAATTACTTATTTTATTATCTTGCTTTTACGATTACCGATCCATTCCATTTCTTTGTTGTTCCATTCTTTGCAACCTCACATATCTCAAAAAAGTAATTCAGAAATCCATCATACAATAGAAAATGTTTTATAAACTCCTATAAAGGAAGAAGAAAGATAAGACTAAATGAGTGTATGGTGTTAATCTAATTATGATGTTCTTTCATCTCTATTTGCATGTTTCTAGCTTGTTTGTAGTATTGTCTATAAAATATTGTTGTTATATTTGAAAGTTCATTTTACCATTTTCATCTTTTTGTGTTTATATTTTAATCTTTCAGGTTTTTAGAGTATTTGAAGGACCGTTTCTACTTGAGAGTGGGGTGAAGTCAAGGGCCCTAAAACTAGAGGGTAGTTGTATTTAGAGCCACTTAAATATTTAAGATTTTTGTTGACATTAATTTCAATAATCATATGTACCTTAGAAGAGATATCATAAGTATAGTTTATTTTTTATAACGTTTTTTGTATTTTTATTAAATGTTGTACAGGTAATGTCTACAGGGTGTTGGTATTTTTTTTTTGTTGGCAAATTATTACGATATCTAACACCCCAATAATCTATAATATTTGTATAAGATGGTGACAATTATTATTTTTTATTGCAGATTCTCTTCATATTGATTATCCAATGTGGTCTGACTTCTGGAATGTTGTCACTGAGAGGATTCCACATTGTGGGGCGTTGGAATTCATTACAGAATGATGCATGATTTATATGCCTTATTGGGTATTGATGGAAATGTTTAATTCTTGCTCATGTAGATCGATAAGTATTTTACAATATGCTCTTTTAACCTTATATTAAGACATTTTCTGAAAAAAATTGATTTTAGTATTGAACTTTGAAAGAAAAAAAAGTTCATATATAGCATCGTACTCTTAAAAAAATGACTTTTTTGGATTATTTTTAGTGATATGGAAAGTTATATTTTTTGTATATTGAAGATCATTTAAAGGATTGTTTTCTGGAAAAAAAAATTCATTAATAACATTAAACTTTGCAAAAAATTTCATTAATAGCATCGTAGTTTCAAAAATATTCATTGATAGGATTGTTACTTTATTTTTTTATAGTGCCAATTTTTTTATACCTTTATATGTACATTTTCATATGTTCCTTGCGTTTTACGCGGGTCATAATCTAGTTAGAAGTATAAAACTTGAATTTAAATTACATTTTTACTAGAAAGAAATTATTACACTTTTTTTAAAGAATATAACATTTTTTTTAACTAATAAGGGTGGAGGTATAATACAATACACATAAATCATATTCTTACACCTTCACAGTTGTATGAAACATAACATTTTCGTATTTTAACCAACTACCTAGAGGCCTATCGGATAAGTCTTAGGGTTTCATTTAGGAGTTGGTCAAAAGAGAGTATGCGACATATTTCAGTTTCTTAGCATATCCTCCAAAAAGGCGAGCCCTTTCCCCGACCATTGCAAAAGTAGTGAGTTGTAGTGGACGGCTAGGAATCGATTTTTTTATAATGTTTTTCGTTTTAGTTTTTATATCAACTAATACAAGATATCAATACTTCAATAGTGGTTAGAATTGTTAATATCTTTATAAGATAAACCATTAGGAGGAACAATGTATTTTATTTTCGTTACTATTATATGCAACATAATTATTTTTTCTCATAATAACAACATACTTATTTTTATTTTTATTTTTTTACTTTTTTTTGCTTCTTATAACAAAACTAGTCGACCACAAACGTATAAAATAAAGTTTCGATCCAAACAATTATGTATAAAAGAGACAGACAACAATAAGGTTTGAAAGTATATCTTGATTCGTACAATATACAAATTATGCTTATTTAAAAAAATTATTATAATAAAAAGTAATATTATTATAAATGAAAGCTATAAAAACAAATTATGTAAGTGACCAAAAGCGTAACTTTAAAATGTAATAAATGATCAAAATCATAATTTATAAGATGCCAATAATTAAATAATCATATTTAATCCTGATTCAAATCACTGCTTTATCTGTTACCTGGATTAATTCAGGAACCCTCCAAGGAAGCTCCAAAACCATCCACCACCTATGGTGTTCCCGAATGTGTTCATTTTGTTCAACTATTGAACAATTAACATTCAGTCTATGCACTCCAAATTAATCCCAAATTAATTCTAATTAATTTTAGCTAGTTTCTAATTAATTTATTAATCATATAATATATTAATAAACTATTTTCTCAATCTCTTAAAACTATTTCTAACTATTACTGCTCTTGAGGGCAACCCAAACAGGATTTTGCTATTATTCTCAAAGTTACACCAATTAGTTATGACATTTGACACCTATTTCCAACATCTTGGTGTCGAGAGCCTTAATTGTATGCTTGTATGTGTATTATTGTATATGGTATTTTGGGGAACTGACTAAGCTTTGGCTTACAGTTGTGATTAAATGTTTCAGGTACTTCAAATGATTGTGGGAATGTGAAGGTGTAGCGTCCCAAATTTCACAACAATTTTTTCATTTATTATTAAAAGCATTTGTTCCAATCCCAACTTCAAACATCAAAATAAAACAATTTGTTTCAAAACAATAATCGGAATGTAAACATAAAAGTTATTAAGTGCATAAATCTTCAATGGATGCGATACAATCAAGTCGTGCCCTTCCTTTGTTACCAGAAAACCTAAAATAATTTAAACTTAAAACCATAAGTACAAAGTTTAGTGAGTTCCCAAATATACCACATATCATACTACAACAATACATAACCGTAATGGGCATGTTTTAACTCTTGTGAATGCTATGAGCCAGATCATAGTCTTATAATTACTTTTGTCATGGTCCAAACACGGTCTTTCCTGCTATACGCCAAAACATAGTATTTCATACAAGTGTCATGAGACAAAACATGGTCTTTCATACAAGTTACATGGGCCAAATCAT